ACTGGCAAAGCTTTGCCTGACAGTGCTGTGTTCTCTCTTGTCGGCTGCAGTCTCCCTCCCCCCACTCACTGACCGAGGAGGCCTCAGTGATGCGGTCGTCTGTGCTGTCCCCTGCCGTCCTGTGGCTCGTGGTCTCACTGGCAGGTGGGCACCTAACACGCCACTCTGACACCTCTCTGTCTGTCTGTCTGTCTGATGTGCTCCCTGGCCGTCTGTGTGGCGTTAGCCTTTCCCTCGTGGCTGGTGCCGCTGTGTGCCGCGAGCGGTGCCGGCCTCCTCCGCCCCAACACAGCGCCCACCTTGATCAGCGCCAATGACACCGCGGCCGGGGCCGAGAAGAGGCGACTGCACCCGGGAAACGTCGAGTACGATCCCACACACGGCCGGCTGGCCGTGGTCTCTTGACACACGTGGCTGCATGACACTGTCCTGTCTGTTTGCCTGCAGATGTGTGTGTGATTTTGACAAGGTGACGGAATGTATTGAGACCAACTCTCTACCGACCCTCCTCATCGACATAGAGGACGTGCGCACTCAACGACACTGAGCCCATCGAGGCGATGCATCATTCGACACACACGGGGGGCGTGTGGTGTGCACTCGTGTGTCGTGTCAGATTCGAATCGGGGTCATTGAGGAGCTGCCCGACGTTCCTCCAAATGCTGCCGGTGTAGTCGCAAGAGCCTTCTTCGGCGGTGATCCCAATCCCGTTCCCGAGACGAGTCCCCTTGTGGATAGCGTCACAGTGGTAAGCAAAGCGCACCTGGTGTGTGTACGCCCGTGTGGATGACCCGACTCAATGCAGGAGGAGTTGCCTGAGGGAATATTGGGTCAGGGATCCGTCGCTGGGATTACGACTATCCAAGTCCTTTCTTTCACCGCGGGTTCTCTCGGCACGTATTCTGTCAACATCCTGGTCGGATTCAACGAGGGCGGCACCGTGCGATTCGCCAGAGCAGAGTCGACCAACAGATCTCAGTCTGTAAGGGGGAGATCCAGTCATTGGTGTTCCCTCTGAAGCACCCTCATCGTTATCCTCTACGTCATCGCTATCTTCGCAACTGTGTGAGCGTTCCCAGCGTCATCCGTCGGCGCCAGCGGGCTGGTGGTGTGCGAGATCTTGTGGATCTATGCGTATCGTCATCTAACTGGCGCCCTCGTCACTTCGTCATTTGATGGCCTTCTGCCCTGGAGTGAGCTACTCGACTACAACCACATCCATCCTGGGCCGTCGCGCTGGACGTGGCAAGGGAGATCTGATGTTAGCCTGGCCTCCCCTTCTGCGTCCTCAAGGAGCCAGCGAACCGCCGAGGCCAAGCGTGGGCAGAGCTTCCGCACGAGAAGACCGCAGCGCCAGGGATTGAGGGGTTGTCCTGAGCTGTAGCGCCTACGCTCTTTTTCTTTTGTCCGCTGCATCTGCTCACAGTGGTTTCTCTACGTTCCCTGCTTGAATGGCTTTTGTCCTGTTTTCCTTTTGTTGCTTATATCGTTTCTGTCGTCTGCTTGTTTGTTTCGTTGCCGTATTCCCCTTACTTGTATCGTTGCCGTATTCCCCTTACTTGTATCGTTGCCGTATTCCGCGAGACTAATCCCGCTGCGGCTAGGTGTCTGAGTACTTTACATGCGATTGGATGTGCCAGAAGGTGCGAATCGATCTTCGTTCGGACACTGATTATGATACATTAAGGACGTGTGAGCGGGTCAGAAGCACGTCGACCAACAGATCTCAGAGGAATGCGCTGTGCGGGTTGGTCTCGAATGTACTGAGGATACCGACTGTCCCGGCGACTTCAGATGCAACACAGAAACCACCGAGTGTGTTCAATGCCTGACCGATGCCGACTGTAGCTTCGACGAAAACCTTCAACGATGCAACACAGAAACCACCGAGTGTGTTCAATGCTTGACCGATGCCGACTGTCCCTTCCCGGGCAGGCGAAAATGCAACACAGAAACCACCGAGTGTGTTCAATGCTTGACAGCTGGCGACTGCCCTGAGGAGCTCATATGTAACGACGACTTCGACTGCTTCCTCCCTGACGATTGAGCGTCAGATGGGAGAGAGGGAGAAGGGACGTACCCCCCCGCCCCACAGACAGAGTGAGATGGACGCTGCTGTTTTTATGTGCAGGGACGACGTTATGTTTCGTGTCGTCTCGCTGTCTGTCAGTGTGCCTGCAGACGTGACATACACAGAATGGCCGTGGGCGGGCGGGGCAGTGTGTCTGTGCGGGCCGCTGACAGGGAGAGGGAAGGGGTGGGGTGATGACGACTGCTGTGTTTGCCTGAATGTGTGCCTCTCGGATGTCTCTCTCTCTCTCTTATGGCTGGGTGTTTTGGCCGTGTGACTGACTGACGGCTGCGTGCGTGTTGTGTGTGTCGTGTCTTTCTCTTGGTCTCTCTCTTGTAGCCGTCTGCCGTGATGTCGTCTAAGCGATTGTGTGTGCGACAGGGGGCAAATGCACACACAGACACAGAGAGGGAGGGGGCCGATATCGGCGTGGCGTGTGCAGGTCAGTGAGGCCATCAAATGAGGGCTGCATGCTGGTGTTTTTATTATGTGCAGACACGCAGGCACAAAAATGTGCCCGACACGCCAGAGGGCCCAGGTGTGGGTGCGGCGGCGGGGTGGGTCAGTGTGTCTGTTTCCGCGGAGGTCTGACTGACAGAGAGGGGACGGGGTGTCTGTCATTGATTTCTGTGTGGCTGGTTCACTCTCTGTGTCTTGCGAAGTTGCGAGCGGCCCCGGGAGTGTGTGCGATGCTCTCGTGGGGCCGTTGATGCGATCCGCCTGACTGGCCGATTTGTGTGTGTGGGCCGCTCTATGAATGTGCTTTGACCGCCACCATTGCACCCTCGCAAAACTCGCTCGTTTGCCTGTTCGTTTAGCCATCCATCCAGCCAGCCAGCCACCGTCTACACCCACTCACTACACGGTGAGTCGATCAGTCGACCACCCACCCACCCATCCATCCATCCATTACGTTGGATAGATATCGGACACCGACTACGTATGGATTTTGTGTTATGCACCTGTCCTGCCTGTATGCCCCTACATGATGCCATCGAGGGGACGGACAGACGGACAGACAGACCGTTCCGGAAGGAAGCTAGCTACGAGCCGTGTCGCAACTAGACAAAGGCAGGCAGGCAGGCAGGCAGAGGCAGGCCGCTATCCCTGTTAAGCACTCATGTGTCGACTCCCACCCACCCACCCACCCACCCACCCACACTTATGCACCGTATGGTTAATCAACCTCCCCTGTCCCTGTACCGGGCATGCAGCCTCTAAACGAACCCACCCACTCACCTCTGGCCGTGCGAAACACGCACGCTCCATCCATCCATCCATCAGGCACGTGGGCAGGCAGGCAGGCAGGCAGGCAGGGAGGCGGGCAAACAAACGCAACGCGTCAAAACCAACCTGCTGCAGGCCTTGCAGAACCTAACGTAGCCTTCTTACCCACACACCACACCAACGCAGAGAGAGACGAAGGGAATAGCAAAGGCGGGACACAGCACACAGCACAAAACAAACGTACACATCAAAAAACTGCTCGTTGTGAGTGTAATGAATTATGCACTTACGCACGGCAGCCGACCAGGCGACCATCCATCCATCCATCAAGGTACACGCACAGACACACACAGAGACACAGAGAGGGAGAGAGCGGTCCGGTCCACACGGAGCGCAGGAAAGAGCGCCGCGCCCGAATTCTGTCTGTCTGTCTGTCTGTCTGGCTGTGTGTCTGTGTGCGTGTGTGTGTGTTGCCTTGTCGGTGGATGTGTGGGTGGGTGTGGCCTAACGAGCTACCATGGCTCGGCGACTCGCACAGCACACAGACGGCCCCAATGGCGGCAAGGCCATTCTGCTGTCCTGTCTGTGTCCCTCTCTCTCTCGTGTCGATGGTTAAAGCCCCCGGGCCCTCCTCTTAGCCAATCTCACGAACGTGCACACGTACTTTGCAGGCAGGCAGGCAGCCCGGCAAGCAGCCATCTACGTAAGCAACAGGGCCGGGCATCGCCGCGGCAGCCACCGACTAACCAGAAAGGTATGCAGGTAGGTATATTTCCACACAC